CGAGCTTTAAAAGGTCGAAGCTTTTTTAATACTAAAAATTAAATGAAAAAAAAACGTTAGCTTTAATCAAGTGCATTAAAAGCTTCGCGATTACGTCGTAATCTCGAATAAATCGGCGGTAGAAATTATAAAATCTAAAGAAGCTTTAAACGCTTTTAACGGTTATAAAAAGCGCTTAATACTTTATTATCGACGTTTTATTCGGATCTACTTTTAAGCTTTCGATAAAAATGATAAAGCTTAAGTATTTTACTTTAATAATATTGAATTCGCATTTTTTAATATTAGCTTAAAAGCTAGCGTCGTCGAGTCGTTAAAGAACTTAACGGACGTAATAAGCGTGCTTTAAAAGGTCGGAAGAGTAAATTAAGATATCGTTTAAATATGCCGTGCAAAAGATATTTAAAAAGTCGAAAAGGAGGTCATTTATATAGCGTTAATAAGTAGCGGGTCTATTAGTTAATTCGAATAAGAAAACCTTGCACTTATAAGCACCGTAGCGTATTTTAAATATTATAAGCTTTTTTAAAGCTAGGTCTATTCGTATTCTATAAAAGGCTTGCCGAATGTCGAGTTTCGTAAAGATTTTAGCTTTTAAAAGACGTGCGAAAGTCTTATCGATCAAAAAGAAAAGGTATCGATTTTTACGAGTAAGGTTGTTTAGCGCGCGGAAGTTAATATAAAAGCGGAAAAAACCGTCTTGCTTTTTAGCAAACAAAATTAAAGCTGCAAATAGCGCTATTAAAAGTTCGATAAAACCTTTATTAAGATTATCGATAAAGTAAGCTTTAATAAGCTTTAGCTTAAAGATCGATATCTTATATAATAATAAGTATCGAAGCGCTTTCTTTTCTTTTTCGAAAAGCTCGATTTTGTAATCGTAAAGCTTGTATGATGCTAATACGTTGCTAGCGGCTTTAAAGAACACGTATATATAATCGAAGTATTCGAAAAGAATAAGAAAGTCGTTAATAAGCTTAAACAATTCCGTTGTAAAATCAATAGCAAAGATAAAGCCGTTAGTAAAGCGTGTTAGCGCTGCTTAATAGTTAGCTTAAGTAAAAGCAATCGTTTGACGCTTAGAGATCAAGCAATCGAGCTTATAAAAAGACGTAAAAAACAGTTTTACGTCTTTTTAACAAGCGATTATATAAAAAGCGTATCCGGAGACGCCGTTGATTTTAAAGTTTCTATTGATTTTGTGCTTAAATGTTTAGCGAGAGCGTTTAACAAGTAAAAAAAGTTTTACGAAAGCGATATCGGTTGATATAAGCTTACGGTTCATCTAAGACATTAATTTAACGTAATCTTTAAAAAAAGTGTTTTTCGTAAAGCGAAAGAGTAACGGCTTTACGAAAAAGTGAATAAAAGAAAAAAGTTCAACGATTTTAAAAGAAAAAGCGAAAGGAGAACGATTCTAAAAAGAAAAAAAACGATTTTGAAAAGAAAGAAGTGATTTAGCGATTATTATTGCTGCTTAATCCGCCCGTAAACTATAATTCACGAGTGAATTAGCGTCGTAAGCTCTTTAAAAGCGGTTTAAAGCTCGATCACGCTTATTAACGTCGTATTAATAACGAGCGTTTATTTTACGCTAATTAAAGTGTATAATCTTAATAGGTTTAGCGTAAGTAGCGGTCGAAAGGTTAAAACGAAGCTAATAAAGCTTGCGGCGAGCGCAATCAAAAAGAATCTAATACTTAATTAGCTATGCTCGTCCGAAGATCACGCTATGATTTTTAAAGTTAATAATAAAAAAAAGAGTAAAAGATTAAACGCGCTTATTAACCGTAAAGTTAAGAAGTGCAAAATAAAAGATAATAACTTTACGAGCTTTATTATATGATTTAATAAAGAATAAAGCCGAGAAAAGTTGAATCAAAAGTTTAAAAAAGAAAGAAAGTGATTTAAGTAGCGCTAAATCAATTAGCGCGTACTTATTAGCTCTTAAGTCGAGCAAAGCAGATACTTTATACGAAAAGCCATTCTTAATAAAAGTGACGAGTATAGTTATAGCTTTATTACTAAAGAGCTTCGTAAGGTCGAAGTATCGTATGTCTCGAAGCTAGCTTAAGAAAGAAGCTTTGCTTAAGCTTCGACGTTTCTTTTATTATCGAAAGCGTCGGAGTTAGTAAAAGAAAGCTCTTAATAATCTTTAAAAGCGTCGGAGTAAAGCTTATCGTCCGAATCATCCGAATAAAAGCTGTATTCGAGTCTAGCGCTATATTCTATTTCGTTGATTAAGTAATAGCGAAAGAGCTTCGGCGTATTCGAATCTTTGCGAGACGATCTAAAAGTCTTGATCGTTAATTTAAAAGCGTTTTCGAGAAAAAAGAATTTGTTAGATCGATTAGATCGATTTGCACTAGCGTTAAAGCTATTAAAAGTTTAGCGTTAAAAAGTAAAGAAAGAGACGAGAGCTAAGTTACTTTAACGGTTCTCGTAATAAGTGATTTGCTTAACCGCTATTTTTTAAGCCGAGCGGGATTTATTACGAGCTCTATTATAAAAGCTCTTCGCGAATTAAGTATTATACTTAACTTATAAAGCATCGTAAAGCTTTATAAACGCGTATTAGCTAACAGCTAATTGTTAGACGGCGGTTTAAAAGTCTTTAAAAGTTATAGTTTTAGCAAATTCTAAATAAAGCTGGTCGCGCAGCGTTTTAATAATTTTAAAACGCAAAGCTTTACGTAATCGGTCTTCGTCTTTGATTTCGGCGGTAGTAGCAAGCTTTAAGAAAACAAAATAAAAGTCTTAAAATTATTAGTTAAGCTTTATATAAAGTTTTTCGAATTTAATTAACGCTTTAGCCTTTTTAGCGAAGTCGTTTAAGAACTCGAAAGCGATTTAAACGAGTTCCGAAGCGGTTACGAAGTTGCTACGATCTATAACTAAAAAAGCTAAAAACAAGTAAGCTGTTCTTTCGGTTTAATTAAAGACGTAGTTCTTGCGTTAGCGTTTTGTAAAGAAGTATTCTTCGAAAGCTTTTAAGTTGTCGAAAACGCGAGCTTGCTAATAGCGTGCTCGATAGCTTACACCGTTTAAAAGCTTTTGTTTAAAGTTAAAGATCCGCTTAATACGAGCGCGACCTTAAGAAGCTAAGGAAAAGGCTTTAAGAGTGTTGAACTTAGCTAAAGTGCGAAAGTTGGTTAGCTTGTAAAGAAAAAGTGATTCGTTATCGTCGTCGGCGAAAAAGCGGCGAAGGTTAGCGGTTTTATAAATAAAAAGAGTAGCTTAAAAGACCGAAGGCTTGTATAGCTCTTTGCTTTTAAAATTATCTTCGAAGGACACTTAAGAAAGCTTTGACGAGCGTTCCGTAGTTAGCAAGACCGCTTAAAGCTAGTCTAGTTCTTTTCGAGCTCGACGAGCTTTTTTTTTAGCTTTTTCGGCGAAGGTTTTTTGTTCGCTAGCGCTTTTATCGAGTTCTTTATTACGAGTTTTCATATCTGCGAAGAGCTTCTTAAGCTCAGCGGCTTTTCGTTAAGACTAGAAGAGAGCTTAGTATTAAGCTAAAGCTTTCTCGAGGTTAATAAAAGCCGAGGGATCATTTTTATCGTCTTGCTTACTAATAGCTTCTTTTTAAGTAGAAGGAACTGCTAGTTGGGCCGTAGAAAAGAAAGAAGGAGCTGCTAGAGCAGCTTTAAGAAGTGTGCGAAGGATTTTGCTCGCGAGGCGAAGGTTGTTATATTATATAAGTGCTATCCTTTAAGTTGTACTTAGAATAAGCCTTTTCGTGACCGTTAAAGTCGTCTGAATGTTTTTTTTAACGTCTAACTACTAAGGAATTCTAAAAAAGAAGAATATTATTAAAGCCGTTCTCGGCGAAGTAAAGTAGTTGTTGATAATGTAACGACTTTAAGCGATTACTTAAAGAAACTCACGAAAGCGCGAGGTTCATATAAGAGCTCAAAAGAATCTTAAAGTAATGACTTAGAATCAACAATTACCGAGCGTAAAAGTCGAAAGTAGCTAAGGTTTATATACACGAAAGTAAAAGCGCCAAAGACTCGTGAACCATGGTTCATAAGTCAAAAGCGAAGAATAAGAGAATACGAAGGAAAAAAGGAGGGAAGTAGCTTGGCGCATATGAGGTGCGTCCAGGAGACCTGGCGTGTCGTCACATTTACGAGTCTTTAGCGGTTTTACCTTCGTATATATAGACTTTAGTTACCTTCAACCTTTACACTCGATAATTGTTGATTTTAAATTATTACTTTGAGATTCTCTTAAGCTCTTATGTGAACCCCGCGCTCCCGTGAGTTCCTTCAGGTAATCGCTTAAGGTCGTCACACCCACAGGGCCTTATAGAAGAGCCTATAAGAATACAAGAATATAAAAATAAAAGAATATAAAATATAATAATATAGAGATATTGAATAAAAGAAAAGAAAAATATTAAAATAAAATATATCATAATATATGGATATCGAGATAAAAGAATGAATAAATATGAAAATAGAAAATAGAATAATATATAGATTTTAAAATCAAAGAATATGAACATATAAAAATACAAAAATATCAAAAACATAAAATTGTATAAAAAT